CAATAATAGCTGGGTGATGATGAGTTTTTGCTGCTGTAGTATTCGATCGAGATGGCAACAAGTAATTATTGAGGGTGATACAAGAAAGATACTCATTATATTTTGAATTGAGAGCCTTTCGAAGATGTTGAATTGTTCTAACTTTAATAACTTCTTTTCTTCTCTTTTTGTCTGCAGCTCCGAATTCGATGCTTTCATGTATATGGTCATATAAATCGGGATGCTAAATCAAAAGAGGTGGACAACCAGGTGAATCATATTTTATTACCTCTTGATGTTCTTGCAGGAGCTTTTCTTTTTTTGCCTGCTTTTTCGTTGATATCCTGCATGATGCTTTAATTTTTTAACTTTAGTATCCTCATCATGCAAAATTTGTTTGAGAATTGTCATGCGCTCCATTATATTATGCCGAATTTCCAAGTCAGTAGTAGAATTATAAGTTCGTTGAAGTTCAGCAAGCTTCGTATTGGTTGCACTGATGGTTTCTGCGGCTTTTCTTTGTGCAGCAGCATTAGGAGGCGGAGCGGTGTCAGCTACAATATTCTCTTCGATTGTTTTTTGAGGAGCTTGATCGGTTTGAGTGGATTTTGAACTTTGAGATGGGCTGGGTCGCGAATTACTAATCTGCAAAAACCCTTGGATTGGAATTGGAGTTATCAGGTATTCTCTGATTTTACTTTCAATTTCTTCTTGTAATTTATGTCGAATCTCTTTTCACGCATTAGTGCATTCATTACACAAACTAGATTTTGGATACATAGGGTTTTTTGCATTCATCTACGATAATATCCAAAAGCATTGCAGAATCTTTGATGCTGATTTGTAGGGGTTGTATAAATATAAAATTTATTATATTTCGGTGTAGTTAAGAAAGCCTGCATGTTAAGAAGTTCTGGACAAAAAATCAAGATGATTAAAGACGCGATTATATAGACGCGATTATGTAGACGCGATGGCATATATTTGAACAATTGGATGATATTGCGAGTCACGTGCAAACAGTTACAAAAGTTTTTTATTACTAATTTTATTTTTATTAGATAATATCGAAATATAATACGTGAATTCAATCAAATAAATGCATTTTTTATTTATTTTTAATATAACATTTAAATAGTAGTACAATAATGCTTAATTATTGGTCACTTTTAATCACGTGAATAATAAGTCTCACAGGGGGGGGGGGAGGCAATAGTAAACTATAATGACGTGATATGTGTCACTCCCCTAATATATTATTTAATATTTATTAAATTCTTACCAATATATATTGTTAAATTCATCCTTTAATATGTTAAATATTTTTAAAATTTTAACACTATTAATATATCATTAGATTGGTTTTAAGATACGAGTATTATTATTATTATTTAGAATAGTAATATTATTATTTTGAATAATTTCTTCAAGAAAATTTTATATTTGGTTAAGTTTTTCTTATAATTCTATTGTAATAGCAGCACAAAAAAAATAGCAAAAAGTATAAAAAATAACATAAAATAGCATAAAAAAATAGCGTAGTATCATATATATACATATCATAGTAAATGTTTTATTAAAACTTAATACATAATGTTTAATATATAATATGTAATTAATTACATAATTAATTATAAGCTAGTAATTATTTACAAATAAAATTAATTATTACCTGGTAATTAATTATAAAATGGTAATTAATTATGAAAATGTAATTTATTATAAGAAATTAATTAATTAATTATTATAAAAATTATGATTATTATTTATTAAAATGAAAAAAAATTATAATAAAATATTTATACATATTTATAAATGTAAAATAAAATAATTTTCTAACTATTAAGATTTTGATCTAATAAACTATTTAAATTAAATTTTTTTTCATCATAATCAATAATTTTTGATTCAATAATAACTTGTACTTCTTGAATTTTTAATAATTCAATTAATTCTTTATCATATAGATTAAAAAATTTTCAATATGTATTTCATTATTATTAAGTTTATACTACTCGTTATTTTCTATATCAATAATATCTTCTTCATTTACTTTATAAAATTCTTTTTCATTATCATTTACAATTTTATTTAAATCAATTTCTTTAGAAAATATATCCTGCATAGTATTATAAATATCATTATTATTCATATCTTGAATGGTAAATTTTAGTTCTTTTTTAACATTTGAAATATAATAAGCATGTAGTTTAACTAATCCTTATAATTTTTCAATACTTAATCTAAAATATTAGAATTAGAATTTATCTCAATTTATTTTTTAATTATAATTAAAAAATATTTACCTTGTTTTTCTTTTTACTTATATTCTAACTAAGAACTGAAAATAATCTTTTATAACCTGCATTTGATAAAGTTATTAATAATATTTTTATAGTGAGCTATTGTATATAATTTTTATTTTGTTCTATTAGTTTCCACTAACTTTTAATTGAATAATATCTAGATATAAACTCATTATCATATGGTGGTTTTTTTCACAATAAGCTGCTAATTGTGTAATTAATTTTGCACTTGAATTTGAATCATCTACTTCCATTTTTAATCAAATATTTTTAATAATCTAATGTATTATATAGTGAAATATTGATTGTTGAAACCCTTTTCCTATTTAATTATAAAATTATAAATAAATAATTTAAATTAATTATATTAAAATAATTTATAATATATAATACATACTATGATATTGAAAGTAAAGAAGATAAGCTAATATATATAAATTAAAGTTTTCATTTTTATTAAAAGTAATAATACATTATTCTTGAAAAATCAATGTTGACTCTGATAAATTTTTAATTGAATATAATAATTTAATTAATTAACAAAAACAATCTGCCAAAGTTGTTAATTTCATTTTTAAATACTTTATAGTTTCTTTTATTAGTTTTAATATTTTTTTCAATTCTTCAAGATTTATAAAAAATCATTTTGTAATAATAGCTTTAATATTTTCTTTTAGATATTCTGAATCTTCATTGACAATCTAATATTAATATATTAATTTAATTTAATTTAATTTAATTAGATTAATTAAATTAAATTAAATTAAATAAATATATTAATATTAAAGATATCCTTACATTTAAGAATAGAATATGTATAATCCTAAGTAGTAGTTTATCTTATTTTACAATAACTTTTTAAATCACCACCTTTTATATTATTTTTAGTAATTTCATATTTTAAATGATGATTTGCTTGATAAAAAGTTTTAAAAAAATGTACTAATTTTATATATTTTTTTAAAAGTGAATTTGTAAATTCTAATCAATAGATATCTATAGTAATAAGATTAATGTGATGAGAAATATATTGAATAGGAATTATAGCTTCATATTCTTTATAAACTAAATTTTTTGCTAAAACTATAGTTCTTGCATTATCTGATTGCATGTTTAATAATATTTTTTTATATGAGATGGAATAATTTAAAAGGTCAAATTAGTATAGTATTTATATATTTACTAAATAAAAATAATTTAATAATAAATAAATATATTACATATTTTCTTTTTCTATTATATTTTATTTTTTTTTTAATAGTTACAACATATAAGATTACAGTAATATTATTACAAAATAAATTATAATAATGGTTTAAATTACTTGTAAATAATTTTTATACTATAAGTTTCTTTTTCTTTAATTATTACTTACCAATATTTATTTCTTTAATAACAAAAAAGAAATAAAAAATTAATAAAAAAAGTATTATTAGTATTAAGATGATAAGATGTATTATGTCTTATATATTTACTAAACAATAATAATTTTATAACTATTACATGATTTTAACTTAGTAATTTAAGCTAACTAATTTTGACTAAAATTATAAATCACATAGAGTGGAAATTTTATATAAGATTTTTAGTTAAATCGCTTTAGATGATTTATATCAATCACTATAAGATTATTGTATAAAAAAGTCATTAATATTATTTCATAAAATATTACATAAAAAAAGCTAAAAAAGTGAATAAATGAGATAAGTAATGATATATTTTTGTTTTATTTTTCATTGATAAGCATTTAATACATTTGTAAGCAAAATAACCTAAAGGAAATAATCAATATAAACTATTTATTTTTTGTATTTTGATTTCTCTGATTTATAAGTCAGTAAAATTTATGTGATATAATACAATAACTATATAAATTCTACTTCAATAATATAAAACTTTTGCAATAGAAAGGGAGAAAACAGCCAAAAAAATCATTTTACTTTTATATATTAAATATAATTTTTAGATCAAAATATATTCAGATTTAGCATTAACTCAATTTTTTATTTTTTTAGTCATTTTTTTCTTTCTTTTGTAAAAGTTTTATATGATATCATCCTAATTTAACTTGTAAAGTTGTGATGCTAAAAATAATTTTATCTATTGTATATTATCATATTTAATATCATTAAATAAATTTTAAATCTTTTTTGTTTTCTCTATTCTTTTCTTAATGACATTCTTTGATAGAAGCTATTTTGTAACTTTTTGATAAGTATTTTCTAAGTTTTATGTTCTCTATAAATACTTTTAAATCTGCAAAAAATATTTTCAAATTCTTTCCTAAATAAATATTGTATAATAATATTTTGATTTGTATTTTTATTTTATTCTTTAGCTATAATAATTGCATTATATAAATCAGTAAGATTTCTAAGATTAGTATAAAAGGTTGCATGCTAATAGTATTCAGTATAATTTTAATTTTTTGATAAGTTTCTTCTGAGTAGATGATTCTTCATCATTAGTTAAGGTCTTCTGCTTTTTAGTTGAAGATTTTTGATAGATTTGGGTAAATCAATAATGCATTTTTTTTAGATAATACTTAAAGCCTGTTCTACTAAAAATCTTTAGCTAATAGGCAGGTAAGATACTTTTTGTGTAGATTATTAATATAATCATAATATACTGCATGTAAATAGAATAAAAAATAGTATTTTTTAAAAAATCTACAGTAATATTTTCAAAACATTTTATATATATTAAATAGTAAAGAGATTCTTTTAATTTATTAAATTACTATATTTTTAATATTTTCCATTAGATCTTCTGATATTATTGATAAAATTAAGAAAAGTTTTTCATCAATCAGATTAAATAAGATTGAAATTCCATTTAATTAAAATGATTGTGAATATTTTCTACTAGAATTTTTAAATTTATGATATTAATATTTTTCCTATAATTAGAAAATAAATAAATATCTGGTTTGATATATAAAAGTTGCTTCTTAATACATAACCTATGAAAAATATACTCATATAACAGTGTTGTAAATGCTTTAAGAGAAAGTACTAAAATATTATTTATATATTTAAAACATGACTTTAGTTTTAGAAATTCTTTATCTTTTATAAGGCTATTATTGAAATTTTTTAAGATATTTTATCTCAGGTTTCTAATATTTAAAAGAAATAGAATGATTTTTATTAAAGTAGATCTCTTTAGTTTAGATAAACTTTAATTCAGGCTTGATATATTTATTACCTTAAAACTTCTTCTCAACAATATTTTAGGTGGAATAAAATAAAAATATAAGTAAAATTTTTAGAATAATTTATTTAAGAATATTAAGTTTTTATCTTGCAGATCTTTCATTAAGATAGTCTTTTAGTTTGTTTTCTTATTAGAGCAACTCTAATACTCCTGGTATTTTTATATTTAAATTTGTTTTGCAATTGATAAATATAATTATTGAAAAATATGAAAATCTCTAAATCATCATAGAAATACTATTACTTAATAGCTTATTCAGATTTTTTAAATTATTTATATTAGATATATTAACTAATTTAAGAATTCTAAGAAAAATTACATTTCTTATAGAAATGGTTTAGCAATTAGTTAAAGGCATTCTATTAAAAATTTTAAGTTAC